TAGTAATCTATTTTTTTGATTGCCAATAAAATCAAAGTGTCATGTTATGGATAATTTATTCACACCTAAATGATGTTTGTAAGTGCTGATAGTTTCAGGTTAGTCTTAAAATTTTTGTTTGTGAAAATGAAGTACAGTGAGGGGATAGTTCTTTCTCTTATGGTAGGAGCTGTCTTGGCTCCTACAGTGTGAAAATTGTCTTACCTATCACCACCATCTTCATCAAATAAATCTTATTCAGCAACTTTATCCATCCCAAAAGCAGTTTTGGGCAACTAACATATGCCAAGGGACTAAAAATATAAATATATATCAAGTTCTATGAATAAGTAGAATATCCAATAGCCTCAAGTATTTCAATCAGAGAAATACATCATTCAAAATTGTTACCAGCAAAGAACATTTTTTTATGTTCTTTTTATTAGCTTGATCTTAGATGGGGGCAAAATGCAATGAAAGCAGATATATTCCCTGGAGAACTTCAAAATATGAAAGTACATAGATGTGAGCCTTTACAAAAATATACAGGATACATATTAAGCAATAAAATATGTATTATTAGCAGAGCACCCAGTGCAAGGCAGGGCCTTTGACAAACAATTCCCAAATAATGGGCAAAGAAAGAAAAAGGTAAAATGCAGCTGTGTCATGAGCTATCCTTATTTGGAGGACTGATGTCAAGAAGAGATTATTATTTCTTTATGAATTTCCAGAAGATTCTTAGAGAAGGAATTTAAGTCATAAAAGAGGTGCTCAAAAATTCCATCTTGAAGGGCTGGGAATTTAGCCCAGTGATTCCACTGCCTGCCTCACAAGCGCAAGGTCCTGAGTTCAATGCCTGGTACCAATAAAAAATAAAAATACATCTTTAAGGTCCTAGAAATTTTTATTATCAACAGTGATACTACTTAGACCAATCCCTTCTGATTAATTCAAATTGTTGATGTCCTTCATAAAATACTAAATTCAAACATGTTCTCGATTTTGTAAATCTCTTGATCTAATCTCATACTTATTTAGTTGTTTTTCTGAGAGTGTAGGTGGAAACTTGGCTTGGCGCATGGCAGACAGGTACTCTACCACTGAGCTACATCCCCAGCCCTATTTTGTTTTGTTACTAAGACAATGCTTTTCCAAAAATATTGATATCTATTATTTCACTGACAGTTTGTTATATGTGGTTGTTTGGTTTCATCTGAGCACAGATTATTAGTTTTATCTGAGGAGGAACCGTGTCTTTTTCCTTATACCTCAATAGAACTGTTGACATTTAAAAACTCATACAATGATTGATGATTACCTGGAAATGATCTTAGGAATCAAATGGTGGAGGTCAAAATGAAGGCTACAGAGTGACTTGGAATAACTATGGCTGAGTCAAGATAGAAATTAATTTAATAAGCCAGCTGTGGTGGCAAATGTCTATAATCCCAGTACTCAGGAGGCCAGGAGGATCACTGTCAGTTTGAGGCCAGCCTGAACTACATAGTGAGACCCTGTCTCAAAACAAAACAAAACAAACAAAAAAACCAAAAAACAAAACAAAAAACAAAACTAAACTAATTTTATAAACAAAATTGTATATTTATATTCTAATATATTAACTTAGCTCACTTGACTGATTTAATGCTGAATTTCTTAGATGGAAAAAGGCCTCCACTGATCCTTGTGAGCCATATTCGTTTATCTAAAAGTTTCTTTCTTTCAAAAATTTTTAAAAAGATGATTGGCTTTCAAAATTTATTTTATGTGATCAGAACATAGATTTAACAATAAAGTCAATCCCAAAGGAAGTGTCAAATTCTTCTGACATGGCATTTTGGTTGGTTTCCATTGTAGCAATGTCTACAATACTATTGTATTATTAAGATACATAGCACTATAGGCAATTTGCTGCAAATGTGAAAATGAGTCAAATTTTCAGTTTTTGATTAGTGCAATATTTTTACTTTGCTATTCATCAATGTGAAAAATCAGGCTCAATCTCACTTTCACTTGGGAGAGTAAAAAATACTGATAATCATTCCATTTTTTACTTTATGATAAATTTCATAAAATATTTACCTACTTGCTTTATGGTGTTTTAATTGATAGCACTGTATACATATGTACTACACAAGTGTATGTGTGTGTACATTAACATACATATAATATTATGGAAATATAACTTTTGCTAGTATTCCTGATTATTGTTATGTGGTTTGGAACTGCTGGGACCCTGTAACTCAAGCTTAAAATCCTAAGGTAATTTGCATACACTCAGAGACTAAAATTAGTTCTTTTAGAGGTAAATAAAGATACAATTTGTGAAGAAAAATTATAATGTTATTATCTTATTGGGAACCTCAATCACTATAGATGCTTCAAATAAAAACATCATAAATTAAGAACTAAACATGGGCGGGCATTTAACTCAGTGGTTCCACCGCCTACCTCAAAAGCACAAGGTCCTGAGTTTGATCCCTGGTACGAAAACAAACAAACAAACAAACAAAGAAAAACCCCAAAAAACTAAATATAATATAATTAATTAAAATATCAGTCTGAAGACATTTGTCACCTCTCAGACAAATTGGATCCTAAATATTAGTATAAAATATAATGACATTTTTAGATGAATATAATCACAACCAAACAACTTTATTTGATATTACATGGGTCTAGTTATTTAAAAATAATTTTAGAAACTAAAAATGTAAGAAATTTTTTAGTAAGTTATAAGGAGTTGTATTTACACATGTTATCTGTCCATTAATTCATTCAATTAATTAATTTGAGTAACTTTATGCTTCCCTGGACATTAATTAAATATAATTGTATATGGCCAATAAACTAAAGATAAGTGTAATTTTTTCTTTTAATTTTAGCTTGGCTTTAAAATTTGATATTAATGAGTCTTAATTTGCATAACATATATTTGGCAGCTCTTCTACTTTATCCTTCCTGTGTTAATCAAGACAAGCTAAGAGTACAAAATAAGTTACACCTCTTCAGTTTAAATTGAGTTGCATTTAGCCTATATTATCTATATACCCACTAATTTAGTTACAAACTACACTACAAACAACAGTCATTATATCCTTTTTCTTGCTTATTTACACACACATTTACTAGTCACATTCTATAACTTAAATTCTTCATGATACTAAAAACAATAAATAGCACATGATTCTTAATAATAGATCAGAATAAACTAGAAGAGTATGTGTATCTTTACACTATGCATATAAGGTGATGGCCAACTGGACAGGAGTTGGAGATATCATTGTTTGCAAAATGTCATCGTTTCATTTAACCAATGAGTAAAGTATAAACTAATTAAAACTTGTCTAGCATTTCATTTTATACTTTTAAAAAATCATGCATTAAACCCAAGTAATGCTTAATCAGATTTTTTGTTTTATAATAAACTACTAGAGAATATGCATGATGTTATGATGTATGGGTGGATTTTTATATATTATTCATAATATATAGTTTGTTCCCAATAAAATAAAACCATCTCTATGTGTGGTACTAAATTTAATTTTGATGAATTTTCGTGGTTTTTGCACCAAAATTAGCCAAACTTTGTTTCAAGAAAATAAAGTTTACCAGTATCCTTTAAACGTATTTAAATACAAGCCAAGAACTTTCTGTGAACTCTTTTTCTCCTACTAAGAAAGACATATCCCGCCTGTGAACTATACTTTTTATTGCAACATTTCTGAATATAAAATGAACAATGTATTTCATAGAACTCCATAAAAATGATTATCCAAGAAAATATATTTTATAACTCTTCATCAGTTAAATTTTCCGTGATTTATGTCCAGCATTCAGTACTTGGGTTGAGAATGAAAGTCATCTTCAATTCATCAAATTCCTAAATTAAGTTTTCCACATCACAGGCCAGCTTTTTAAAAAAATATATACATCAGAAGTACTCTTATAAAAGGGCAGCTCCATACACTGGAATAGTTTCTTTTAGGGTAGGAAGCTCAAAGGGTGTTTGAGTAATAAGAATATTTCAGACAATGTGATGACATGGATTACTATTTAATGATTCGTCTCCTTCAGTTCGTCATCTTTCTGTACTAAGTGGCTGCTCCCTGTGGATCTATACAGTAATTGTGGCTGAGGCTCAGAGAAGTATTTTTAAACTGTCTGACTTCATAGTGTTTGCTTGATGGGCAGAATAATATGTATTCCTTCAGCTGTTCAAGAATGAGGGCAGGGGTAGTTAAAAGGAGAAGTAAAGGCAAGACAGAATTAAATCTCAATCAGTGCTGCAAACCTAATGTACTTTCACCTCTAATCCTTCTCCTTACCTCCCACTCTTCACTTGATCTTAGCCAAAAGGCCAAGAAGTGACTCTTATCTCCCACTCTTAATTCCATCAAAATGTCCTTAGATTTTCACCTTACTTTTCACCACAACTGTACAACCCAGCCACTAAAAGGGTAGGATTCCACACTTCATGAATTTGCACACTCATACACACAAATTCAAGCTGAGTCTTTGGTGCTATGCAAGAACATTTAAATATTTAAAAATGTAGAACTAAACAAATTATCTGAGGTATGACTAAAAAAAAAAAACCCAAAACAACAATAATGGAGTGAATTTAAAAATGCAAAAGAAATACACATTACAAATAAACTATAAAGACATTTATGATTCATAAACGCATTAAAAAATGATTGCTAATATATTAATTGAAATAAGAAAAGTAAGAAAATATGCTCAATGCAGAGGTACTTTAAAAAAAAAGAAAAGTTAATAAAATATTTTATCTGCATCAAAATATTCTTTGGAAACCAAAAATAAAAATGCATAATGTATTTTTTGAGTTGATCTATAAAAGTCAAAAAATACAAAGTCCAGGCTATTTAACTTTCTGAAAATGCAGAATTCTAAATATCCCCTAAGCATAAAGCAAAAGGCTTTGTGTGTTTCTGAACTGAAGCAGTATGCTCCTTGGATTGGTACAAAGAATTCCAGTTCCATTCCTTTCAAAAAACATTTTTGTTTCAGTTAAACTGAAACAAATGACCTGGCTTCCAGACAATGTAAGTATAGCTGAAGCTATGTCTGATATTTTTTCCTCAGAGCTTGGAAGACACCTGTAGAAACACCTGAGGGAAAAGAATAGTTTCTCCCAAGACCAACACAAGTATTATCCAAAGCGAAACTTGAGTCTGTATTTCCCCGTACTGGGACTTCTGCGAGGTGTAGAGAGGGGGACCTTTGGCTTGACAGGGTTAGGTGGCTTCTTTTTTTCAGGGATAGTAACAGTGAAAGACAGTTCTGGCTGTTCCGACTGCTTGAATCTTGGTAGAAAATGAGTAGAGACGTGCTGCGGTTTAACCCGTGGGCTGCAGCCTCGTTTAGCTTTCCCTCTTTTATTCAGGGCCACATACCACTCCCGCCCAGTCTTTTCAGTTCTGTGTATTGCTGAAGCATAGGTATTATAGCTGTTTTCTTGAAATCGCTCCCTGAACTTGCAGTCATCTGTAAATTTGGCCTACAAGGGAGAAGAAGAGGAAAATGAAATTGTAGTAATATTTTCACCATATAGTAAAATGTGAAGTCATACCAAGAAGGCAAATCAAGAATTTCATTGATCCCTTGCCCTCCTCTTCCATTCCCTTGCATACAGACATATTTGCTTCTTTTAAAGTTGTGTTAAAATTTCTATTTTGGCTTCTATATCCCGACATTATTCATCTTTGTGCTTAGTGATGTAATATCAATGTATATACAAATGATAATTGGAACTCTTAATTCAAACCTTTAAAACTCTTAATGTCATGCATTTAAATACTGTTGATATTTTTGAATACTTTGCAGTTATATTTTTGTGTAACTTTTTTTCCTTGTAAGTCACAAAGAAAAGAAATAGGACTATATGAAGAAGAAACAAATGTCTGGGTAAAAAATGAGCTTGAGTTTTGAGAAATGGGGTCAAATTATTTCTTTGGAAGAAGCATGTATATTTCAATGTGATCAGTGTAACGTATGTTGCTGAGAGAAGAAGAGTGTATGGCCCTATTGATAATGCATATGTTAGAGTACTTTCAGAAAAACTATGTCTTCACAAATGGGATATGGGAGAGTACATTAGAGGCCAAGAAGAAAATACACCACCAGACTCACACTAGCAACATTTCAGCCATACCGCCTTTTGCACACACACACACACACACACACACACACACACACACACACACACACATTTGGCCTAGAAGTGCTCACAGACTCGCAGAATGATGGAGAAACAGACAGGAGACATCATTCATGAGTAGAATGATAAATGAAATTGTAAACAACAGCATGCAGAAAATACAATGACAACAGAGAAAAGAGGCATCTAAAGGGGTAAAGATAGCAGGGAAGAGAACAAAAAATCTTTCCTAAATAAATCTGACATTAGTGAAGTCAAGTACTGCTGTAATTAGGGAGAAAGGTGAAATGATATTGGATATGTTAGAGAGGACAAACAGTGTGTTTGACGATTAGCAGGATACTTTGAATACCTGTAAGTAGTTCACTGTGACTTCTAGTTGGGACACATCAATGAAAGAACAAGAGGTAGATGACACAGTGAGCCAGGACCACCCTGAAAGGGCTTGTTTTGCCATATTGAGGAATTTGGAGAAAAAGGGTAGGATGAGGAGTATGAGCGTGTGGGTCAGAAATGCTACCAAATACTCATTCTGCCAAGCAAGCAAACTCTTAGCTTTCAGCTCCTTGTCCTTAAATCTTATACCCACAGGGCTATTATAAGAATTCATATAATTTTTCTTTGGGAGAGATCTATAGCTTTCAATAAACTCAAAGGAGTCCTTAACTCCTAAGGAATTAAGAGTTCCTGCACTACTCGAGACTACCAGGTTTCACAAGTGCAGGGAACTTCATTTCATAGGATTCCTGGGCTTGGGAAAACCAGAGTTTCATCCTCATCTATAAAAACTCTCAAGGCTGTGTACTTCTGTGTTGGGCAAGATGTTCTATACTGGATTAAAGGCTCCCTTTTCTTTGCTTTTTCTAATACAGGAAACTCTTCTCTCAATACAGATCACAGTGCTGTTACCTGAAAGTCTTGCATACCACTAGGCAATTTACATAGGTCCATTGCTTGTACAAAGCACTGATAGCATTAGAAGGCAGCCAGTATCAGAGCACTGAAAGCAGCACAGTTTACCTAAGTTATTTACATTTAAGTGCAATAAAGCTCTGCATTGGGAGCCTTGAAGCTATATATCCAAATCTTCCACAACTCATAAGGTGGATGTCTGGATTTGATCTCCAGCAGGCTAAGAACAACGGTGTCACCCTGTGTGTGACTTTCTTCTCTCACTGTCCTACAACCTACCAGTCTACGTGTGGGCTAAGGGGGCCATAGTGACTTCGGTATTGAAAAGCACAGTTATTCTTCCTGTTTTGAAGACTTTCTTACAAATTAAATATAGATTTATGTACAGCTGCTGAGCACTTAAAGAACTCTCTCCTTTAATTAGATAATACCAAAGTTTTATTTTAAAACAAATTCTATAGCCATCTGGAATGTTTCCAGCTGCATAAAAGAGTAAGCATTGTAGAATGGCATGAAACATTTCAATGAAAGAAAAACAGAGGCTGGAGCTGGAGCTGGAGTTCCGTGCTAGAACACATGCCATTTGCTTAGCATGTGTGAGGCCTTGCATTCAATTCCCAGCAACACATATGCACAAAAAATATTTTTTAAAAATGTAGCTTAATAACATACATACTATATATATTATACAAAAAGTGTTTTATATGCATTTAATCTTTATAAATATACTATAGCTTGACTTCTACCTCTGTTTCACAAAACTAGCAGCAATAGCTTTATCCCATTTTGGTACATAGGTGTTTAAAATGCTCTGTACTGTTCAACATTTCTTACCCCTTCTTTTGTCCAAGAAAATAAAGAACATGTCATTTTACCATTGATATGGCTGATCAGCCCACATGCTCACACAGAAACATACACACACACACACACAACCATATAAAAAACCTGTATCAGTTGCATCTTAGAATTTCTCACATGTGTGAAAATCCATATACTTTACCCCATAAAATCACTCCATTGTTATACCTTTCTTTCTCCTTTCCTCCTCAAGATTCATATTCTGAATTTATTTCTTAAAAGGAGCCTTGGAAGGAGACAGATATTCAGGCTGCAGGTTTTTCAAGGACCCACCTGACCTATGGAGCAGCAATGTTCAGAGTTCTGAGGACATACACAATATATGAAGCCCCTCAGCCATTCCAAATCCTACAAGACTCCTGACAGCCAGACTGTTTTGACTTTCTTGCTTGACTTCCAATTTAATGTTTTGTCTGAAAAATTATTCTAGCTCTGATGGAAGAGAATCACTGGAAACAAACATTTCAGTGAATTTCTTGACCCCAAATATATAGTTTCTTCCTAAAGTATCAACTGCTCCACTTAGTATTATAGCCTTGCTTAGATGAGTGACCCTAGGCAGCCCAACTCTGTATGTAACATCATGCACAGGACAGCTTAGAAGCAGGCTCATCAAGAAGCATAGGTCTTAGCTATAGATGAGAACATACCTCTTTAACACTAGGCAATTTTGATTAATAAAACGTTGAGAATAATTTCCATGTTTAAACTGTCCTTTGAATTCTTAGAAAACCTTCAATAAAGTGTATACTTTTAAAGTGCTATAAATATATTATTTTGGACTTGGGTGTGGTGTTACATGTTTGTAATGCCAACACTTGTGAGGCTGAGGCACAAGGATCTCTAGCTTAGGGCCAATGTAGACTATGTAGTGAGGCTCTGTCTTTGCAAAGCATGCAAACAAACAAAAAAAAGGTGTTATTTCCCTAGAAAAAATAAAGTCGACATAGAGACTTTTCTGTGATTCAGGTGTAAAGTAAGGAGGTGAATTAAGTTTCAATTAAGTGATTGAAATCATGTCTCCCATCATTTCACTGCCCTCCCACTGTCAGCCACTACAACAAAAAAATAAACCAAGATGTTTCCAAAAATCTCTTTGTTTCAAATGTATTTTTTAATTATTTATTCACTGTTTACTAATGGTGACACATGCCAGGCACTTGGCTGGTGGCCACTCGATGTCCTGCCCATGTTCTTCGATGACTTATATTATCTCTATTTTTCTCTTTATCTCTCCCTTATCTTGAAAGTGTCAAAAAACTTACCTTCAACAAGCCATGATCACAAAATTAAAATGAAATGCTCAAATCAACTAATACTATATAGTTTAGTATACTCCTAGTTGTCAAAACAGATAAAAAAACATGTTAAGCTATGCTTCTTGACAGTCCACATTATTCTGAGGAGAAGAAACACACTGCTGGTGAAACAGGAACTTTTCATCAGAAAATACTGTCTTGATTCTGCTCACCTCTTCTCACAATGAAAAATCCATTTTAAACAATGGATGTTTTAAAAAGGTCAAGTTCGGTTCAAAGAAAGCAAACTCAGATTAACTGAAATATTGTGAGAAAGATTAATCTTATGCAGTTGAAATTAAATGGAGGATCAGTTCAACCAAATAAAAAATTCTCCCTGAAACCATATTGTTTAAAAACACTGCCGAAAATCTCTTAACATGGTTTTGTTCTGTAGTAAATAGCGTGATCTGTGATGGTTGGGGATCTTGTAAAGAATGAACAGAGGTTACACAAACACCAATTCTCATTATGTATAACTATGGAAGTGAACATTCTGTGCATGGAAGCGAACATAAATCTTAAAGCTTGTGAGATACATAATCAAGTTTAATTCTCTATTTCACCTTGATTTCTTTGATTTGCCTCTTTATCCCAAAAAAACAAAAAAACTTACGAAGCTAAGAAATAATTCAGTCTAAGTTATTAAAAAGTTATTGTGGACTGTAGTAAAAACAAGTATTGCCCAAGCTGTGCTTAAGCAAAGTTCCCCTGCTGCTTGCATCCCTCACACCTGCTTGTTTCCCACGCCTCCTTTTGGTGCTCTACCCTACAGGGCCCCAGGACAGGCCCCACAGCCCAGCTACTCTGTGTGCACCCAAAGGAGCCGCCCATCACTCCTTACTGCACACATTCCGTGTGGGTCAGTTGTCCCCCTGCCATGCTAACCCCGAGGGCTCGGGCTATAATCCCTGTGGGACACTGCACTCCGTCCATTGTGTGTCTCAGTTCTTCCGGCTGAGGAGCCAAGGAAGTACACATGTTGGTTATGTGGTGAGGAATATCAACCACAGGATTGCTTCTCCGAGCTTCGTGAATTGCCTTACATTTACTTAGGGAGCCAGTTTAATAAGCAGATTCCCCATCTCCAGGGATTGTTTTAGTAAGTATGAAGTCAGAATCTGAACTCGTATCACCACCCAGCATCCTAGGCAAATTTGAGGTAGGTAGGTGGGTAAGGTAAAAACACTAAGAGACACATGGCAGCAGATAGAAGCTTTTGTTCTGATGCCCTTACTAGCTCTGTAAGCTGGGCTATGGAAGGCAATT